AGAAATTTCAGTCTCTTTGGGACCTAGGTAGAATAGCTCATTTGTATTGTTATAATTTTTAATTTTGTTCCGACAGAAATTTCAGTCTATTTGAATTTTGTAGGGAAATCATTCTATATTATCACCTTTTTTTTTGGGAGCATTTGAATATGCATGCATAGAAAATTGAACTTGAGTCTGATCAAAGTCTGTACCAACGGCAATTGTCTTGTGACTCTTGAATTAATTAGTAAAGAGCATGTTTGAGCTCCATTTTATTGTAATAATGCATTTTAGAATATTAGTGCTTCTTTGTCTTTCATTTTGGTTGAAGAAATAGAGTTTTGAATAGTATTTTTTTGGAGAATGTTAAAAAGTAAAGTAATTTTATTGATTTGTGTATAGAATATTTTATTGAGTGAATATGAGGTGGAGATTGTTTACTGTAGCAAATAATGTTTGATAAAATTAATGACAAATAGAGGCTTAGATTGATGAAAAATGTACGGCTAAAAAATAAAAAAAATTAAATTAAATTTAATGTATAATGTAATTTTATTGAAAAATATATAATTAAAAAGAAAGAAGACAAAAATGTATTTTAAAAATAATATAATTTACTGAATGTACTATTATATATGAAGACCAAATAATAGTCAACTCTTTGGTCAAACTTTGAAGGATCCTAGTTAAGTCAAAATGTTTCAATACAACTGTACTCAAGTCTTTGGAGCAGAGGTGACGTGACTTGGAAAACTACATGTGGAGGTACCTTTATATTTCATGTGTTTGAAAAAAAAACAAATACACGAACCATTCATTTATGTATAGTTTAACTTCAACTTCATGTAGTAGCCAATCTCAAATTCAAACAAAGGATGAGTGCTTTATTCCTTTTTTAAGTCTCATTTTGAGGAAAAATGCATTTTAGAATAGTGATTTTGGGAGAATGTATGTTAAAAAATGAATGAAATGTTTTCGATTTACGTGTAAAATTATTTTATTGTAGAATGTTTAATGAAAAATGAGTTTTGAAAAAAATGGGTCAAACGAGCCCTTAATAACTTTATAACTCTTTTGACAACATTTAATTTTCTATGTTCATTACTTCCTCAAAAATTCACGTCTTCATTATATTTCGGGGAGTTTTAGTTAACAAAAACATACACACACTTGAGCCGCGAGTGACTCGCAAGCTTACTCGGCTTGACTCAGCTCAAGGGGCGAGTTAATAGGGTGAGTCGAGCCTGAATTTTTGAAAGCTTGCCCTCAACTCACTTCATATGCAAGAATGAGCTGGTTTGCATGGTGGCCAAACCGAACCGCTCTGCTCGACCTATTTAACATCCTGAAAGGGACATTCCACCTCTGTCTTCCACTGAAAGGTTGAACCAATGTCCAGATATGTGCTTAGGTGTATGTCACACTAAACCAAAAGCGTAGGCTAAATGGATATTCCTAGCAGAATGGTGGTGTAATCATGACACCATTTGAAGCTCTAAATGGAATCCCATGACCCCAGTTAGCCATAGGTCCCTATCAACAAAATATTGCTATAATAGAAGATGTACTTCCGGAAAGATATAAAATGGATCGTCACTTGAGAGAAAGCATAGCAAATGCCACTGTTGGAATGAAGGTTTATGCAGATCAGAAAAGAACTGAAAAAGTGTTCCAGGTGAGGGATTGGGTGTACTTAAAATTACATTCATACCAGAAAAGAATCAACCAAAACTAAAATCCCAAGTATTATGGACTTTATCAGAAAAAGAAAAAACTTGAAATAACAGCATACTATTGAGAAAATAAAAGGATATATTTAATATAAAAACATATTGAAAGAACTTGA